GCAATACGGCTTTCCCGTGGACATCGCACACCCATACCGTTTGTGGACGACGTCGTAGCGCATAGCGATGCGTCGCCTATCTTTCGGATTGGGGTGATGAGTGTGTTTGGTAGCACTTTCAAGTGTAACAGGCATACTAAACTTCATGTCTTAGCGCATTAGCGCTATGATACGTGGAGTTTTGTTCATTGGCGTCTTAGTAGCGTGCTACTATGATAAGTTGGTGATATTTTTTATATAACGACAATAAAAACTTTGTTACCAAAATCGATAGGGGTCATGTGGGTGTGTTGTGAGGGCGCGCCATCCGTATGATAGCTGCATTGATGCTTACTGATACTTCCGGTATTGCGTCTTGTGATGGATCTGCGGGTGTTCTGCGCCTGATTCGACGCATTCTTGTGGTTCTGGTCGATGGAGGTAAACAAATAACATCTTAGTGCCGGTGGTAAGCGGGTTTGTTGTAGCAATACGGCTTTCCCGTGGACATCGCACACCCATACCGTTTGTGGGCGACGTCGTAGCGCATAGCGATGCGTCGTCTATCTTTCGGATTGGGATGATGAGTGTGTTTGGTAGCACTTTTAAGTCTAACAGGCATACTCAACTTCATGTCTTAGTGCATTAGCGCTATGATACGTGGAGTTTTGTTCATTGGCGTCTTAGTAGCGTGCTACTATGATACGTTGGTGATATTTTTTATATAACAACAATAAAAACTTTGTTACCAAAATCGATAGGGGTCATGTGGGTGTGTTGTGAGGGGGCGCCATCCGTATGATAGTTGCATTGATGCTTGCTGCTACTTGCGGTATTGCGTCTTGTGATGGATCTGCGGGTGTGCTGCGCCTGATTCGACGCACTCTTGTGGTTCTGGTCAATGGAGGTATGCGGGTGGTGATGTCTGCTGGGATGTGTGGGGGGCCTTGAAATGGTGTAAGCCCGACGATAGTCGTATTGATGCTTGTTGCGTTCTGCAGCATTGCGTCTCTACGATGGTTGTTTGGTGGGACGCTATTCTCAATGGCGCTCTCTGCGTCTTGGTTTGACTCACGCCTGAGTAGCTTTGCCCAAGTCGGGTCCCTTCATTACGGGGCTGCAGACTGTCTTTCCTCCACGATGTTTTATATAACAACATAATATTATATCTCTGTAACTTTCCCACCTTTGAATGATTGAAAGCAACTTCTTGGTGGGTGAGACAAACATGATCGAAAATGCATTTACTCAACGTCAGTGACACAAACCCTTTCTGATGGCGAATTATTACTCTTATCTTATAACTGCCTTTTGGCTATATCTGCCGTTGTATTGGTTGGCGGAGCATATGTGTCGACCTCATGCGGGTGGTAGCTGGCGGGAGGATCTGAGGAGACTCTCAAGGCTGCGTCTGAAAGCCGCACAACGTGGGACCCTATTCCCTTGAGGTGAGCGGTAGACTCATGACACGCTCTGCGGCTAGTAGCCGTGCTGATCATGCAATTGGTGGTGATGCCATACACTTACATCACGTCTGCAGGAGCGGCGGTCTGGCAGGTGGTGGCGCTCACGGAGGGTTTACTGCCAGTGTGCTTATTTGCCGAAACCGTGTGACGTACATTCACAGTGGCTGGATTCGTTCGTATTCTGTTTGGCGTTTACACGTATTGACATGCGCGACTTCGGTCGATGTTTGTGCTTACGCAATAACAAGGGGCCAAGCCTCTTTTACTGGTTCGCCAGTTATTTTGCTGTGGACTACGGTCCAGTTCCCGAATTAGAGTTCCCTTCGGGGGGAGTGCATCAAAATGGTTGGCGCTCACCGTGCACGGCGTGTGTGGGGCCGTGTGCCTCCCCCTACATTTTTTTAAATAAATGTAGGAGAGCGAAGCCCTTGTATCGGGTATTTTGTATAAATATATTTTGAGCCTTTTCCGAGCGGGAAGGGATAAATAATAATAAACTAATAATGTAAACATAATACAAGTGGAATAGGGACGTTTTAAGTTCTTAACCTTTCTCGAGCCCTGTCTTCGTGAACGGGGTTCACTTAGCTTATAAGGCACTACCAACAACTTTCAATTTCTCAAGTGAATATTCATTCTTCCAAAAGACACCTAAACTAACTAAGTTACTAAACAAACACAACGTAAATAAGGGTCCTAACTAAGACGATCACGCCAAAATATTACAAACGGCCTATTATTAAACCTTTAGAAAGATCAAAACATATCTTATTTATCCTGGTCACATATATATATAATTTTAATATAAAGGGGAATATAATATATTTAGTATTTAATATATTTATTATTATGAGAGGGGGGGAGCGTTACACTATCTATAGCTGTGAAGCAGTATCGGTAACCATCAGAGACGGGAAGTGGACCTATCAAGTCTACGTGGACGTGAGAAAACCGGGCCGTAGAAAGCTTAAAATCCTGGATAGGGGCGTGTACGTGTCTCGATATTTTCGATCTCTGGCATGTGATACACGAGCGCGCCCAATTCCGACAATCCTTCCTAATGCCAGGCCATACATACCTCTCAGTCACTAATTTGATAGTAGCCCTAGCACTTGGATGACTATCCATGAATATTGTCAAAAACCATTTTACGGAATGCAGGTGTTATGAATGGTCTATGTCTAGGCCCCGATATGTCACAGAAGATTTTCGTACCATCAATACAGACCTTCTGTAACTTAAGAGACGAAACAGTTCGCAAAATATTTTGGAGTTCTGGGTCCGTATCTTGGTTTCTTCAGAAGGGACTAAACCGGTTGGTGACTAGTTTTGTTGCGACGCTGCATTGGCTGCACGAAGCTCACCTTCCACGTCAAAAACATCTCAACTCCCTCAGCGAGCGGACGTCAAAGCGAAAAAGCAGCTGTGTCCACTGAGATCATCTCTGTGGAACGGCTTTTACGAGATCACTGATGAGGCTTCGATAGGGCATGTGATTTTTGAGGTACATGGAACGTCTGAAGAAATCGAGTTTATGGGCAAATTCCATGATACCACTAGGGAACGGAGGATGTCCGTAATATCCGTTGATAATTTCAATAAGTTGGAGATAGCGATTGAACGTCGCCTTGATAATCCCAGTATATTCGCTGGGATATTAGTGTTTACAACGAGATCATGCTCGTTGGGACATTAATTCGTAAGATGGCGACACAGACGCTGGTGCGCGAGAGGTGGCTCCCCGTTTCTCGCCTTCATTAGTGCGTCTAGAGGAGTTGATCAACTCACGAATGTTCTTCGCTGCTCACGCCGCTTCCTTACCAGCGTTGTGTGGGAGCTTGTTAAAACCGATGACACTTGGGCAGTGGTTCCTTGGAGCCATTACTCTGCGCATTCGCTCTCGCGAAAGCCAAGGGTTATCCTTAAAATCACTATTATTCGCGTTAGCATGGCTTGTAAAGGCCATGCAAGAAGATAACCCGCTATGCATTCACTCGAGTGGGATGACTATCTACACGTGGATTGTTTCGTCTACGTGCGACGATTGCATGATGAAAACATTACTGAACACATCCAATGAAACTATGTTTGAATATAGGTTTCACAGAGGTGACAGCTTCAGTGAATACTTGCGTTTCAACTGTGGTTTGGTGAGCTTACATTTCGGATCGTGCACACGTGATTCCAGTATTTCTACTGCGTCACGCTACCTGCAACCCGAAGCTTTACGTACGATTGGGAAGCATTTCTTCCTGACTTCTACTTCAGCGGGGAAAATGATATGTTTAGAAGTTCGTGTGTCTGTGGGCGCGCGTTTCATCTCGTATAAAATAACAGAGCGCCAGGCTCAGTCTTTTAAGCGTACTTGAATTGCCCGCTCGTGTTCTAAAAGGATATGCGTGGCGGACAGAGTCAGACATATATGATGCATGGATTGCAACTCCACAGAGTCAGTAATTCATTCTTGGGGAAATATATACGCCATTACAAAAACGTCTCAGAAAATATACAAGGTCACTCTATCGCCTACCAAGTTTAAATATCTAATTAATTAAAAAGTGTATAAAAAGGGTTATTATAGTATAAATGAATACATGGTTGATAATAAACCCTGGGAATGAAGTAGGCGCTTCCAATCTGTTTATAAAATAAATTTTGTAAATAGTTTGTAACAATTCATACAGTAAAATAAATTTTTTTAAAGTTCCGCTGGGTTTCTTGCTGTTTCTTCCTAGGACAGAGGTTTTTTTCGAACCAGTTTCATTAAGAATTATATGTGATCTACATTGAATAAAAATTATTCTATTCGATATTATTATATTCGATTTTAGGGTTAGCACCATAATAAAAGTTTTTCATAACGATGTGTACAATGTCTGATTTTACTTTTACACTTTTCACTACAATTGATATTACTACAATCTTTTCTAATACGCTATATGCTATTATTTTTCTCCTTAATCATCCATCAAGCTTGGTGGATGTTTTTATCTTATTTTTATTATTTTTATCTTGATTCTAAAGAAATATATATCTATAGTAAAAAACTATATGTTTTAATAAATATACAGTTTTGACAATTAGCCATCTAGAGAATAGGCTATTTTTAGAATTGACCTTTCTGCATCAAAGCCATTTTATTTATGAATTATTTATTATTCGTCTGAGGAATCTGTTACATAATTTCTCAATAATCTTTTATAGGAAATTGATCATTTATTTTTTAATTAAGAAAATAATATATGTACGTATTTTAAAAATAACAATACGAAAATATGTTGGTGTATAATATTTTCAAAATAAGGAAACAAAAATATAAATATATTTTAATAATGAGAACATTTTAAAATACGAATACAAAAAAGAAAACGGACAGAGTCAGACATATATGATGCATGGATACATGAGCGTAGGATCGATCTCCCGGCCCGAATAGATGATCTTACTCGTGTATTCGCAACCGATTTGCAGCACATCATGTTGTGCAATGATAACTTGTCGACAATGGTCGGCCATTTGGTTGTTCTATTATAAACCAAACGGCTTGCCACGTCGATGGTTGCTGCATTGCATGCAAGTAGAAAGGATCACGAGGATGTGCACTCCTTCCTTGTGAGATACGTATTTACTACGGCGACAATGCCCGACGAGCAGGCACTAGCTCAACGTCTTCTCAATGACGTCACTCATGAACCTCAGAAAATTAAGGCAGCTTTACTTCAGGAAGTCAGTACTAGCTCACCATGTAAAAAATTGAAACTTACGTAAGAAGATGTAGATCTCACGGCCACTTGGGGGATCACCAATGTTGATCTTAACGTTATAGATCATTACTATAACGGTGAGGAGATGATTATTGAACGCACGCTTGTTGAAGAACATTCATCAAAGGAGGAATCGCGCGTTAGTGATTCTGAGATTCTGCGTATGTATGATTTTGATGCTGGCCCATGAACTTCCGATTCTAATGCTTGGCGTGAACCAGCCGCTTCGGTTGCGTCCTCACCACTCACTACAGAATCGAAGGCTAGCACCGTGGGTGATGAGCAGAATGACGAAGCCATCAGCGAATTGACTACTATGCTGAGGCGGAGTTTTCACTCGGCCGCGTCGCTAGAAACATTATCGGGAGAACCATCCTCCACGGATGGTTTTATTACACCGCCGAATTCTATTTCAACAGTATATATTCCAACGCACAGTAATGCGGAGGAATAGCTTCGTCTATATCGCCTTCGTGTGCTTCGGTGGTTGTTTATTATCTTGAAAAAAAGTTTATAAAAAGTAAAAAAAAAGTACCAGTTGTGGGAGGTTATGCTGGGCAATGATAGAAACGCCTTTCACTCTTCCAAGAATATAATGTTTTCTTTTTACCAAAGGACAGTTTGCAACACAGATATTACAGCACCAAACAAGAGAAATTAAGAATAAATACAATTAATTAAATGTACAAAAGACATTTAAAATATGCAAGCCAAAATAGATTTATGCGATTTGAACGGCAACCGTTACTCCGGCGGCGCAAAGCGTGAGATTTAACTCTGAGGCCGTTTCCTGAGAAGCTGCTTAGGCAATAGGGTCTAGCGAGCGTGTTATTGCATCCGTTCTTGATAACGCATCCGCGACAACATTTTCTTTCCCGGTGATGTGACGGATATCCGTTGTAAATTGGGCTATTAAATCTAAATACCTAAATTGCCGCGGAGAGCAAGCGTCACGGGCTTTCTTAAAAGCTGAAATAATCGGCTTATGATCAGTCAGTATAAAGAATGGTTTTAATTCAATCATATGTCGAAAATATTTTACTGATTCGTAAATAGCTAAGAGTTCACGATTATATGCACTGTATTTGACTTGTGTTGGCGAAATCATGCGCGAAAAGAATCCTGACGGCTGCCAATGACCTAGGACTTTCTGCTGCAAGACTGAACCAATAGCGGAGTTGGATGCGACAGTTACTATGGCCAACGGAGCAGACGAATCTGGATGAGTTAGAAGAGCGGCGTTAGCAATGCTTGCTTTGCAAGCATTAAAAGCGCTTTCTAGGTTAGCAGTCCAGTTAATGTTGCTGTTGCTTTTCACCGATGGACCACTAAGTAGTGCATGGAGAGGAGCCTGAAGTTTATAGCATCAAGCTTGCTGCCTCGCCATTAACGCTAAGAGCAAGGATTTATACAGGTACCACTTGAAAAATAGGTTAGGTCATACTTCTATTATTTGCAAATTTTTTATAAAAAAGGAGTTTTTTAACAGAGCTCGGGGATTATTTTTTTCAAATTTCGAACTACAAAGTTAAGTTTTTTCATAATTGTAGGGAAAGTAACGTAATGGTTTATTACATTATTATTTTTATTTAATATTTATTTAATGCTCTTACAGGAAGTTGGATAAGGTTGATTAAAATTATTTTATTTGAATGAAACACATAGGATGAATAGAATATTTGGCAATTTATTTCACATTTTCTTAATTCTAAACATCTACTGGTCATAATACTATTGTAATTCGAAGAACGATGTATTAAACAGTTAATTATCAAACGAACTTACCTTGTATGTGAAGTTCGATTGTAATTGTGTGATATGCATCGTTCGAGGATTACACGAACCCACCCCAACCTAATATGAATCCATTCATAGATAGGATTCCCGTAAAATGAGAAATAAATACCTGAATTAAAAGCAGGAACGTTGGATACGTTCCGTTTTTTGTTTTTGTTTTTTTTTTAGCTCTGAAATTCATGGCATTGGTGAAGCGTGATGTCGCGCTACTACTGGTCATAATACTAATGTAATACGAACAACGATGCATATTACACAATCACAAGGTATCGATCTTCACAAGGTAAGTTCGTTTGATTATTAATAATTTTTTTTATTTTATTTTGACCACCAATAGCGATGAGCATATCATTGAAAATCTCTTTTGATGTACTTAAATTGTTTTTAGGGCAGCTTATCTCTAAACGTTGTGTAAAAGTATGGGTGCGTTTGAGTTTGTTAGGATGAATTTTATTGGTTATGCGAAAACGTTACAATCCACAATGAGTACAATTTGAGAAAAAATGAATTGACTTGTGGGTTGGAATGTTTTCGCATAACTGCATCCAATTAATGCAGGTGGTCCCATGGGAAATTTCAAACTCTTTGGAGTTAAAAGGTTGGCGGAAGAAGGACGGAGCGAGCGATAACAGGTGCGGGGGTCGTGTGGAGTATTTATTAGCAATGGACCGATACCATCTATTAGCAGTTTTAAGAATCATTCAACAATAATTTAGTACCACTGTACTCTGTGGCATCAGCCATTAATTTTTATAAGACTTCTTATAAGACTGCATACAATGGAGAAGTCAAGCTGTATCTCAAGAATGACTCAATCGAATGAAATTATTCATGCCTCAGATTTTAAGTTAGAGTAACAACTATGCAACAGTACAGGTTTCACTGAAATCCTTTCTCGTTCTCACGAGATGATGTAACAAAGTTTTCAGGACAGACAGACAGACAGTCAAAGTTTCTAAAATGATTGATTCCTGTTTTTATGCCTTTCTTTTTCTTGTTATTCTATTTGATTTTTGTAAACAACTTTTCAATGTACCTATAACTACAGACTTTTCGACCTCTACGATTTTATCATAGTACAGATATAGATAGATTTCTAGTAAATGTCTCAATAGGACTCTACTGCTGCTTTGATTAATATTTTTATTACTATGTTTCAGATTCAGCAACCAAGTGAAAAAATAAAGATTCTCACAAAGAAATGTGATTTGCTAAAGCGAAAAGTTAAAAGTTTAAATGAAAAAATCCAGAGACGGGATGGAAAGATTGCTCTCTTTTCTAATATTATCAAAAATCTTCAGAAAGGTAATTTCGTCAATGTGCAGGATCTGAAGTATTTTTAAAAAGCCAAATTGCTAAATCTAAAGGCCTTCTTTTAAAAAAAATATTTTGAATAATTAAGGAAATTTGCCCTTACGCTTAATTTTTTTTTCACCGAAAGCGGATGTTTTTATAAGAAGTACCTACAACACTTGTTTGCCACACTCTCGCAGTTTGAGCAAGTGGTATCAACATTTGATTCTCTCATTTTGATTGAAAAATTAATTAATGTGTTATTATTGTTATGTTTAACTTTTAAATTATTACTTATGAAAATAACAGTATAAAATTATGTGTGGTTTAAATTATTATATAATATTGAATTCTAATTTAATTTATTAATCTCTTATTTTTGTATTAAATTTAATCCACTACATTTTTATACTTGTGTCTATCTTTTATGAAATGTGTGTAACACCTGTAATTAAGTCAACACTTAGTATTTATAGTTTCTTGCAAAAAATATTATTTCTAACATGGGATCCGAATAAACATAAATTTTATGGTCGTGTTGATTGTGGCCATTATGTTAACACTGACAGTGTGGAAGAATCTAACTAATATTTGATTTTGCTGGTAACGTCCATAAATGGTTAGTAGAAGTTACCAATTGGGTATTTCTTTAATAATTCGCTTACTGAAGAGCAAGGGAGTACCCTTGTATGGACAGCATTTCAACTCTGCCAAGACGCTGGAGTCAAAGTGGCTAGTATCACCTAAGATGTTCTGGCTGGTAACTTTGGCATGTTTACATTCATCGATCGGCGCTCAATAGAGTAACACGTACAAAGTGATCAATTTCTTTTTTTCTACGTACCCACTAATATGGTCAATGTGGCTCAGTGTGTATCAACGTAATAAGAATATCACCAAAACAAGGCCCGGCGTGGAGTGCAATCGGTGTGAAAAATTGATTCATTTGAGCACAGCATGTCACCAACAAGCAGGTATCTGCACTACGGGCAACGGACAGCTTAGAATGGACGTGCCAGGATTTCCAGAATCAATCGCCAAAAAAGACGTTCAATCGTGGTCCCAGAAGATGACGATGACGAACCTCGAGTAACTTCGTCTGCTGGTTATTACCAAATTGACGTTAAAAATCTGCTGGAGGACATTTCGAAAAAAATGCAAAAAAACTATAAGAAGGGAAATGAAAGACATACATCTGACACTTCAGTTACATTCAGAAAAAGTCGATGAAGCCATAGAGAACCTAGAAGCTTACCAAAAAACAATTACTGAACTTAAAAAGAAAAACATCAACCTTACAAATAAAAGCAATCATTTGGGATCGAGGTTAGCAGCCATCGAGCAACGCATGCAAAATATGGATCAACAGAAGCTAGCTAAGTGTGTTGAAATTGTTAATGTAACCTTAAAAGACAAGATACTATGGTGATTGGCCAAGAGAAAGCAGGTAAGCTTAAACAACGTACTAGCGATGTTGTCCATGCTGAACGTTTACCTGGCAAGAAAGAACAACCAGGATCAATAAGGGTTCAATTAAAATCACAAAATACTCAAGATAAATGGTTGGAGACCTACAAACAAATTTTCAAAAAAGTCCATGTCCCTGCTGACAAAGGAATCATAACAGAGCAAGCTAAAAGCAATGTCAAAACTACTTCGCAAGGCTCAAACGCCCGAATACTGAAACGCAACTTAAATCTGTCACTTTATTAAAGGTCCCCTAAATTTGAGCATCACTCAAATTTAACTGAAATACAGAAACATCACTCAAGTGATTTGAGGGTTTGATTAGCCGAGTAGCCCTCAAAAGTTTACGTCATGGTAACATTAATAAAAAAACTTTGTTCTTCTTGACAATTTTACGATATTTGAACTAAAACGTATTTAGTTTTATGCAACATCATCTGAAAATATTTAAATAATTTTATATTCGATTTGCTTTAAAATTATATTCAACAATAATCTCCTAACAATACTTTAATTTTAAATGTGATTTATTAGATTTTTTTACAAATATTGTGGATGAAAAGTACATTTCAAAGAATAAAATTATGTGAAAATCGCTTCGTCTATCGTCCTAGAAAGAAACGAGAATATTTTACTGACCTGTGCCGTGCTGTCAGTGTCAGTTTCGTTGACCGAGTACAAGTTTAAATTTCAAAATTAATATAAATATTTGATTATTTTAAAATTTTCATTTGAAGACTACAAATTATAATTATAATTTTATTATTTATTATTGACTACAAATTGTCGTTTAAATGGATAATAAGAGACGCGGATGCAATTACACAGTGTCTGAGAAAGACACTTTATTGGAATTGATAAAAAAGTAAGTAAATACGCCCATATTATTTTGAAGAAACGACAGGCTTGGGATTTCGTGTGTAATGAGTTAACGCTGTTGCTGTAAGCGGTGTTAGAACGTGGCAACAATTACGACATTTGTATGAAAATCTTAAACGATCTAAAAAGAATGTTGCCAAAGAAAATGTAATTTTTTATCTTGGAGATCACAAATATTAAGAAGTCACGATTTATAATAGTCATACCTATTATTTAATAATCTTTTAGATTTTAGCGACTACAGTATAATGAAAAAACAAAAGAGGCCCAAAAAAGGCATCAATAGATAAGGTAGATATGTCCATATATTTGGAAAATAATTGATCAAGTACCTATTAACTAAATTTTTTTATATAGAAAGAAATAACTTCTACTGGTGGAGGGTCCTATAAATCTATTCTGACTCAGCAAGATGTTCAGATTTTAGCAATGGTTGCTCCACAAGTGCAACCACTGCAAAATCCGTTTAATGATGCTGCATTTTATTTTGGTTAGTTTGTTTAATCTCTATAATTTAGATCTTTAATAAGAAATAAGATTAATTATTGTTTATTTATCAGGTGACACAGAATTGATTTCTGAGGACATGCAAACAGTTTTAACAGTGAATGATGTAAACCAGGATGACAGTGCTAATATGGGTAAAGATTATATTATTATATTTTTTTTTAGATAGGTGCATATCTGATTTTCATAGCAATTTTTATTTTTAGATAACCATCAAACACTTTTGACAAATAATTATATGGAACAGAATAGCGATAAACCTCATACAATTACATCTAATACAAAAGGTATTTACTTCATTTTACTTTTCAACAATGGTACATTATGGAATAAGTTATTAATACGTATAATGTGACATGAGTGAGGTTGAATAACATATTGATAAAAATCTTGTTTGTGGGAATGAATAAAATAAATTATAAACATTCATTTATGAATTTTTTAACATTGTTTGTTTGTTATTAAGAAATGTTATTAATAAAGGTGTTAAATTAACCTTATTATTATTATTATTTATAATTATTATTTATATTACTTAATATTATTATTTTTAGATAGGTGCACAGGTATCTGATTTTCATAGCAATTTTTATTTTTAGATAACCATCAAACACATTTAGCAAATAATTATGTGGAACAGAATATCGATAAACCTCATACAATTACATCTAATACAAAAGGTATTTGCTTCATTTTACTTTTCAACAATGGTACATTATGGAATGAGTTATTAATATAATGTGACATGAATGAGGTCGAGTATCATATTGAGAAAAATCTTATTTTTGAGAATGAATAAAATAAATTATAAATATTCATTTATGAATTTTTTAACATTGTTTGTATTTTATTAACAAATGTTATTAATAAAGGTGTTAAATTAACCTTAGATAAACATTTTTCAGAACAACACAAAATTGTAACAAAACGGAAATCACATGAAACAACTAAACAACAATATTTTAAAGCAAAATTAAGGAATGCCAAATTAGAAAATAAATATTTAATAAATAAAAACAAAATGGAGATCAACAAATATAAATTAGAAATGCAAAATTTAAAATTGAAATTAAAGAGATTACAAGTTTCCACACAGAAAAGGAATTAGTTTATGTATTTTATGAATATTTTATTTTTTTATTGTTAAATTTAGGTTTAAGAATTTGACGTTATATGCGCCCGAATACTGAAACGCAACTTAAATCTGTCACTTTATTAAAGGTCCCCTAAATTTGAGCATCTCTCAAATTTAACTGAAACACAGAAACATCACTCAAGTGATTTGAGGGTTTGATTAGTTGAGTAGCCCTCAAATGTTTACGTCATGGTAACATTAATAAAAAAAAACTTTGTTCTTCTTGACAATTTTACGATATTCGAATTTAAATACGTTTTATGCAACATCATCTGAAAATATTTAAATAACTTTATATTCGATTTGCTTTAAAATTATATTCAACAATAATCTCCTAACAATACTTTAATTTTAAATGTGATTTATGTGATTTTTTACAAATATTGTGGATGAAAAGTACATTTCAAAGTATAAAATTATGTGAAAATCGCTCCGTCTATCGTCCTAGAACAAAACGAGAATCTTTTACTGACCTGTGCCGTGCTGTCAGTGTCAGTTTCGTTCATTTGTAAACTACAAATTATCATTGTAATTTTATTATTCATATTTGACTACAAATTATCGTTTCAATTGATAATAAGAAGAGACGCGGATGCAATTACACAGTGTCTGAGAAAGACACTTTATTGGAATTGATAAAAAAGTAAGTAAATGCTTAAATCGTCAATTGAAACAAACTACACTAAATAGAACGCCATTTTTGACATTGTGAATAAAATATGAGTTTTTCATAATTCAACGTGTGTTACATATTTCAGATATCAACATATAATAGAAAATAAAGAGACGAATGCCCACATTATTTTGAACCATCCAGGGACTCGTTTTGGAGGAGTTCAGTGATAAACACATAGAAGAATTACATTCACAAAGATTGTGTAATGTTAAAATAACCCCTGAGAATGACTGATCACTTCCATGCTGTTTCTAAATGTTTTTATTATTTTGGTGTACAAAACACTCATATATTTAAAGACTGTGTTGTATTATTAGTGATCATTTATCAGTAACTTGCTTGCCGAGCATCGTGATGTGACAGACAAGACAAATCCTCATGAAGGAGGCATGAAAAAGTTCAGCTGTGGGCTAAAAAAGCTTTTTAATTACTGTTTACCTACTAACCATATAAAAATTAATAAGTTACCATATTTCAATGAATCTACACTGTGATACAGCAAACTTTTGACTGATCTTTGTTTTATTTGTTATTTTGTAAAAGATTGATATTAAAATAAAATGAAAATTAACCAGAAAAATATGTATTAAATGACGTCCTCACTATAAAGTTTTGATTTATTTCATGGCTGGGTTGTACCATAACTTCTTCCTCTACGATAGCTAAAGGAATTTCATCCTCAATTACATCATCCTGCCTTGAAATAGCAATATTGTGGAGTACTGCACATGCCACAATAATAGGTGGAATGTTGGTAGTTTTCAGTTCTAACCCATTGTGGAGACAGGGAAATCTTCTTTTAAGAACACCAAATAGCCTTTATATTGGATTTCTGGTTCTGATTTGTGAACTGTTATATGCTTCTTCAGCTTCTGTCCTTGCATTTAAAATTGGGGTTAACAGACAGGGGCGACATGGATAACCACTATCGCCCAGAAGTACCATAGGGGTAAAATCTCCTCGCTCTAGTTGGGCACATAATGGTGAGTCGTTGAAAATTGTACTATCATGTACAGAGCCTGGCCATCTTGCAATGATATTTCTTATACGCAATTTTGCATCACATACTAGTTCACATTCTAGGAGAAGTAGCCTTTTCTATTTCGGAAACTTTCAGGTTGAGCTCCCCCCTGTAAAGACATTTAATAACAATGAGTGGCTATAATTTTTTAATGATATGACAATGTACACGTAAAAATGTAGCTCATGATAAGAATAGGTACGTACAGTCAATAGCACCCATCACTCTTGGAAATCCAGCAATCACATAAAAGTCATTTGCTACTTCTAAAAGCAGGCACTAGCTGAAAGTCTTCTTAATGACGTCACTCATGAACCTGAGCAAATTAAGGCAGCTTTATGTCAGGAAGTCAGTACTAGCTCACCATGTAAAAAATTGAAACTTACGGAAGAAGATGTAGATCTCACGGCCACTTGGGGGATCACCAATGTTGATCCTAACGTTATAGATCATTACTATAACGGTGAGGAGATGATTATTGAACGCACGCTTGTTGAAGAACATTCATCAAAGTAGGAATCGCGCGTTAGTGATTCTGAGATTCTGCGTAAGTATGATTTTGATGCTGGCCCATCAACTTCCGATTCTAATGCTTGGCGTGAACCAGCCGCTTCGGTTGCGTCCTCACGACTCACTACAAAATCGGAGGCTAGCACCGTGGGTGATGAGCAGAATGACGAAGCCATCAGAAAAGTGACTACTACGCTGAGGCGGAGTTTTCACTCGGCCGCGTCGCTAGAAACATTATTGGGAGAATCATCCTCCACGAATGGTTTTACGACACCGCCGAATTCTATTTCAACAGTTTACATTCCAGCGCACAGTAATGACGAGGAATAGCTTCGTCTATATCGCATTCGTGTGATTCGGTGGTTGTTCATTATCTTGGGGAAAAAAATAAGTTTATAAAATTAAAAAAAGTACCAGTTGTGGTAGGTTATGCTGGGCAATGATGGAAACGCCTTTCAATCTTCCAAGAATATAATGTTTTCTTTTTACCAAAGGACAGTTTGCAACACAGATATTACAGCACCAAGCAAGAGAAATTAAGACTAAATACAATTAATTAAATGTACAAAAGACATTTAAAATATGCAAGCCAAAAATAGATTTATGCGATTTGAACAGCAACCGTTACTCCGGCGGCGCAAAGCGTGAGGTCTAACTATGAGACCGTTTTCTGAGAAGCTGCTAAGGCAATAGGGTCTAGCGAGCGTGTTATTGCATCCGTTCTTGATAATGCATCGGCTCGGCTTGCGATCTCCCAATTCCTCATTCATGAGCAACTGCTTAATTTGCTCGCTTTTGGAAGCAGATAGTCTGGCAATTAACTCACGTTTCAGTGTGTCGTATTTATCATTCGCCGAAGCTTAAAATCCTGGATAGGGGCGTGTACGTGTCTCGATATTTTCGATCTCTGGCATGAGATACACGAGCGCGCCCAATTCCGACAATCCTTCCTAATGGCAGGCAATACATACCTCTCAGTCATGCATTTGATAGTAGCCCTAGCATTTGGATGACTAAGTCCATGAATATTGTCAAAAACCATTTTACGGAATGCAGGTGTTATGAATGGTCTATTCTAGGCCCCGATGTGTCACAGAAGATTTTCGTACCGTCATTACAGACCTTCTGTAACTTAAGAGACGAACTAGTTCGCAAAATATTTTGGAGTTCCGGGTCCGTATCCTGGTTTCTTCAAAAGGGACTAAACCGGTTGGTGACTAGTTTTGTTGTGACGCTGCATTGGCTGCACGAAGCTCACATTCCACGTCAAAAACATCCCCAACTCCCTCAGCGAGCGGACTTACGGAGAGACGCATAGTCAAAGCGAAAAAGCAGCTGTGTCCACTGAGATCATCTCAGTGGAACGGCTTTTACGAGATCACTGATGAGGCTTCGATAGGGCATGTGCTTTTTGAGGTACATGGCACGTCTGAAGAAATCGACTTTACGGGCAAATTCCATGATACCACTAGGGAACGGAGGATGTCTGTAATATCCGTTGATAATTTCAATAAGTTGGAGATAGCGATTGAACGTCGCCTTGATAATCCCAGTATATTCGCTGGGATATTAGTGTTTAGTCCCAGATGAAGTGGACCGCTATTACAACGAGAGCATGCTTGTTGGGACATTAATTCGTAAGATGGCGACACAGACGCCGGTGCGCGAGAGGTGGCTTCCCCGTTTCTCGCCTTCATTAATGCGTCTAGAGGAGTTGATCAACTCACGAACGTACTTCGCTGCTTACGCCGTTTCCTTACCAGCGTTGTGTGGGAGCTTGTTAAAACCGATGACACTTGGGCAGTGGTTCCTTGGAGCCATTACACTGCGCATTCGCTCCCGCGAAAGCCAAGAGTTATCCTTAAAATCACTATTATTCGCGTTAGCATGGCTTGTAAAGGCCATGCAAGAAGATAACCCGCCATGCATTCACTCGAGTGGGGTGACTATCTACACGTGGATTGTTTCGTCTACGTGCGACGATTGCATGATGAACACATTACTGAATACATCCGATGAAACTATGTTTGAATATAGGTTTCACAGAGGTGACAGCTTCAGTGAATACTTGCGTTTCAACTGTGGTTTGGTGCGCTTACATTTCAGATCTTGCACACGTGATTCCAGTATTTCTACTGTGTCATGCTACCTGCAACCCGAAGCTTTACGTACGATTGGGAAGCATTCCTTCCTGACTTCTACTTCAGCGGGGAAAATGATATGCGTAGAAGTTCGTGTGTCTGTGGGCACTCACTACAGAATCGGAGGCTTGCACCGTGGGTGATGAGCAGAATGGCGAAGCCATCAGCGAAGTGACTACTATGCTGAGGCGGAGTTTTCACTCGGCCGCGTCGCTAGAAACATTATCGGGAGAACCATCCTCCACGGATGGTTTTACGACACTGCCGAATTCTATTTCAACAGTTTATATTCCAGCGCATAGTAATGAGTCTATATCGCCTTCGTGTGCTTCGGTGGTTGTTCATTATCTTCGGAAAAAGTTTATAAAAAGTTAAAAAAAGTACCAGTTGTGGGAGGTTATGCTGGACAATGATGGAAATGCCTTTCACTCTTCCAAGAATATAATGTTTTCTTTTTACCAAAGGACAGTTTGCAACACAGATATTACAGCACCAAACAAGAGAAATTAAGACTAAATACAATTAATTAAAAGTACAAAGGCATTTAAAATATGCAAGCCAAAAATAGATTTATGCGATTTGAACGGCAACCATTACTCCGGCGGCGCATATCGTGAGGTCTAACTATGATGTATATAAAAGCCGGAGAGAACACAAAGAACGTAACGCAATCTATAACAGTTTATTCCATAATGAATTCCCTGTATTATCTTAATTTACCCGCCACCTATATAATCAGTCTTAACCTACTACCCTACATTACATTCCTCTACACTTATTTATTATTATGCTAATCTTAAATATAACTTAATTACTTAACATTATTGTATCAGCGCTTAATCAATATTAAGGTTTTTGAGTCTACATTGCCTTATAGGGCGACTCCGAGGCTTTGTGGGCGGTACAACGTTTGGCAAGGTATCCTGATACGCCTGTGAACCCGGGTTCTCACTGGTCGTCTCCCTTGCCGACTCCTTTAAGCCGATTTCAGCCTCTGAGGTTTCTACCACCCCCCGGTCATCCCGATCCGCCGACGGACCCGGCTGAGCCTTTCCCACCTCTGGTGTCACCGTCGGCTCGTTGGTTGAATTTGTGCTGCAACCTGACTGAGGATCATTGTAAGGACATGTCATAGATGCCCTTAAAGATCTCCTTTTTAATTGGTCTATATGTCTGTGAATTATTTCGCCACCTTTTCCCTTAATTGTATAGCTATTAGGACCCCTAACGTCTACTACTTGACCACTGCCCCACTTTTCCCCTTTCAAGTATTGTCTATACCAAACATCTTCCGAAGGATTCAGTTTCCTGTCTCCTCCTTTGGCTAAGTCTTTCTGGTGTCGTTGCACCTTATAAATCCTGTTTTCCCTGTCTGGTTTTAAAATATCTAACTTAGTGCGCAGTCGTCTACCTAACAATAACATAGCGGGACTCTCGCCGGTGGTTGAATGCTCCGTATTCCTATAATATAGCAAAAAAGTTTGTAGTGCCCTGTCTACGTTTTGTTTTTCCTGCACCGCTTTCTTTATAACCCGCTTCAAGGTTTTTACCGCGTTTTCAGCTAAACCGTTCGAAGCAGGGTGATGCGGAGCCGTGAAAATATGATCGATACCGTGACTGCCCATGAAGTTATTGAATTCTATACTTGAGAACGGGGGACCGTTGTCCGTCACGATTTGTTTGGGTAGTCCCCAACGACTGAAAAGTTCCCTTAACTTATCTATTACCCCCGTGGCTGCCGTACTCGCTACTTGATAGATTTCTAGCCATTTTGACATCGCATCGACCCCTACCAAGTACGTTTTTCCAAAAACGGGCCCCATAAAATCTAAATGTATCCTTGACCAAGGACGATTCTAGGTAAGGGATATCGATCAACTAACAAAACAGGGTTTATCGTTGCCTTATAGTCAGCACAAATTCTCAACGAACCGTCAGCTTTGTTTACCGGTACCAGCGGCGAGGCCCAGTCGGAGCAGTCGACGGGCTCGATGACGCCGTCGCGCAGCATCGCGTCCAGCTCGGCGTCGACGCGCTTGCGCCGCGCATATCTCGCACTCCCGGCATATCCGCTCCACCGCCTCGTCCACCCCGGCCCACCAAACATAGCTTCGAGCTATAGCCTTGGATTTGACAATGCCCATATGAGGTTCGTGAATCATACATAAAACTTTTTCCTTACAGGCCTCCGGAACAACTAGTCTATGCCCCCACATCACACAGCCTAGTTCCTCATATAATTCATTCTTTCGATTAAAAAACGGTTGTAAACCCTTAATATTACATTCCCCCTGGCCAACCATCCCGAATATAGCTAATAACCTTCGAGAGAATTGGATCCCGAGCGGTTTCATTTTTAACTTTATTATAATCTAACAACAACGATTGTTGAACGAAATGCAAATACGTTTGCTCGGGCGCCGCATGAGTCATCTTACTAGACGACAGCGGCAGACGCGACAGGCCGTCCGCTCCATTCACATCGGTACGTATGTACTCAATATCAAACGAATAAGCGGATAAAATAATTGCCCACCGTTGCATCCGACTCGCTACCATAGTTGGTATACCTGTGTTCGGTCCAAAAATGGACACTAGCGGCTTGTGATCGGTGCGCAGAGTAAAATGCCGACCGTACAAATATTGATGGAATTTATTTACGGCAAATATAATCGCTAATGCCTCGCGATGTATCTGCGAGTAGTTTTTCTCGGCGTCGTTAAGCGTGCGTGACGCATAAGCCACGGGGCGCTCGCGACTGCCGTCGTCGCTCGGCTGCGACAACACGGCCCCTATCCCTCTGGCGCTCGCGTCGCACGTTACTATAACCGGCCGCTGGGGGTCGTAGTGAGCTAATACTTCCGCGCTGATTAATACATTTTTGACTTCAACAAACGCGCGCTCACATTCCTTCGACCAAAACCAATTTTGACCGTTTTTCAGTAATTGGTATAATGGTACGAGCCTACTACTCATGTTTTTAATAAATTTTGCGTAGAAATTTACTAAACCCAAAAAAGACCGTACCTCGGTCACGTTACTAGGCCTAGGTAGCTTAGCAATTGCTTCTATCTTTTTCGGGTCTGTTTTTACTCCGTCTTTACTAAGTACATACCCTAAAAACTGCACTTCGTTTACAAAAAGTATACATTTATGATTTTTTTAATTTCAATCCGTTCTTATGTAACCTGCTAAAGACAGCTTCTACGGCTTGAAGGTGGTCGAACTCATTTTTCCCGCCGATTATGACGTCGTCTAAAAATACTTCGACATTGGGGATGTCCTTTAACAAATTATACATAATACGTTGAAATATTCCAGCACTCGATGCTAGCCCGTACACTAACCTATTATACTGAAATAAGCCGCGGTGCGTATTAACTACGGTTAACTTTTTTAGTATCGTCTAGCTCTATCTGATTATAGGCTTGAGACAGATCAATTTTTGAAAAATATTTCGACCCACTCAACCTAACAATTAAATCCTCAACTCTAGGTAAGGGATATCGATCAACTAACAAAACAGGGTTTATCGTCGCCTTATAGTCAGCACAAATTCTCAACGAACCGTCAGCTTTGTTTACCGGTACCAGCGGCGAGGCCCAGTCGGAGCAGTCGACGGGCTCGATGACGCCGTCGCGCAGCATCGCGTCCAGCTCGGCGTCGACGCGCTCGCGCAGCGCATACGGTATTGGCCGCGCGCGGTGAAACACCGGCGCTGCCCCCTCGCGGATTCTTAACGTCGCCTTGCCGCCCGTGTACCATCCCAGCCCTCCATTAAACAATTCTTTATATCTGGAAAACAAATTTTTCAATGGATCATCTAATTTACCTCGGTTACTCTGCAAGTTATGGCAGTTGGTAAATAATGGTAATTTTATTTTTAATTCAGATAACCACTGCCTGCCCAACAAGGACGTGGTTCCTCCTTTGACAACAAACAATTCTAATCTTTTTTTCTCTCCACCGTAACAAACTTCCGGTGTGATTAACCCTAAAGGTCTAAGTGACGAACCGTCATAGAACTTCAAACTAACACTTGTGTTATCTAACTTAATGGTACTAAAATATAGCTTATAAGTTTGTTCGCTAATGCATGACACTGCCGTTCCCGTATCAACCTCCATATTGATGACTTTATTATTTACAGTCACTGGCAAACTCACCGCCTTATAGTCACCTAAACATAGGTGATGAAACTCCTCTAATTGACCCCCGTCTTCATCATGCCGTGCCACGTCTGCCTGATGACAAGCGGTATGCCTGGTTGTGCGAACACATGCCGCGCCCTGTCCCGGACACACGCGTCGTAGGTGACCCGTGCGCTTGCACCTGCTGCACACGTATTCCCGGAACCGACAATCCTCATAACCGTGGCCTGTCCCTCCGCATCCGCTGCAATTTTGACTGCTAATTGCATCGGGCCTCCTTACAGCTGCAGACGATCCCGGCCGATTGTGTTGTGGCTGGCGGTCTCCGCGCATTCCGCGCCCGCCTCCCCCCAACGTTCTCCGCGATCCATTTTTCCCAATCACCAGCGAGTGCACCCCCGCCATATCTCTTCCTGATGTTGCTGACTCGGTTGCATCTACCGCCGCAGCGTTCCGCTCCGCGGCCTCTAACGAGCTGGCAATCTTTATCGCATTGGTGAAACTTAATGTGTCATCCTCCGCAAACAGCCTCTGCCGAATAACATCGCTCCTTAATCCGCAGACAAATTGATCCCGTAGACTTTCACTAAGACCGTCGCCCAGTTTGCAGTGACGTGTTAATTTTTTTAACTCTGCTACGTACTCTGCTATATTCTCGTCCGCTGCTTGCCTCCTTTGTCTAAAACGATACCTTTCCGCTAACGCGGATGGTGCCGGCTGTAAGTGGTTGCGCAATAGACTAATGGCGGCGTCGTATTTTAATTCCGACGGATTCACGGGGCTAGCCAGGTTCACTAGCAACTCGTAGGCCTCATCGCCCATGACCGCTATTAGCGTGGGCAACTTGAGATCACTACTTATTTTATTTGCCGTAAAATACATCTCAAGTCTATCGACATACGACGACCACACCCCGGTTTTTACATCGAACTCGTTCACTTTTCCAATCGACATTGTCCTCGAATTAACTTGTAAACTTTTACTTACAACGA